AATATCTAACTATTGGTTATCAATGAGGTGGATTTCATACTTTTTGGGCTTATGCTGTAGTTTGGGAGCTAAAACTTACAATCCTTTATTGTCATAAACTTCAGTTTCTTCTTTGAGGGCAAGTAACACAGTATTTCTTACCTCTTATCAGTGGAGAAGCTGCACAGAAAGTGGTTTGATTTATATGCATATGTGCATAAACCATGGACACAGACAATAGTGTGTTGAAGGCCTGGGGTGGGGAGTGGGTATGGCCTGGAAGGGATCAATGGGAAAAGGGGAACATCTGTAATACTGTCAGCAATAAAGATTTTTAAAAAGAAAGTGAAGTTTGAAATTCCAAATGAAAATTCTAAAAATGTCAGAAAAATTGTAATGTTAGGGCAAAGACATTGTATTCTCTCAGCATAAGTACTTAGAGCAGCAGTTTTCAACCTGTGGGTCGCGACCTCTTTGGGGGTCGAACGACCCTTTCACAGGGGTTGCCTAAGACCATCGGAAAACATATATAATTACATACTGTTTTTGTGATTAATCACTATGCTTTAATTATGTTCAATTTGTAACAATGAAATTGGGGGTCACCACAACATGAGGAACTGTATTAAAGGGTCACAGCATTAGGAAGGTTGAGAACCACTGACTTAGAGCTAATTATATGTGAATACTACTTCATAAAAAAACAAAAACAGTTTTAACTTTTTATCATTTTGTCTGTTCTCTCCACTGTCCAAAGAGGGAATATGATGAGAGTGAGGTGGACCCTTACCATGGCAACCAGGAGACGCTGCCAGAGCCTGAGGCCTTGGACCTTCCAGAGGATTTGAATCTAGATAGTGAAGACAAGAACAGTGGTGAGGACACGGACCAGGAAGAAGGAGAAGGTGTGTCTTTAAAACCTAAAGTGACCAATGGGAACTCACTGAAAATGAGCAGTAACTGATTTCTCTTCAGGTCAATGTCATGGCCAAGTCATAAATCATGTTTGGTCAGCTCAATTCCATCTTGCAAAAATTGTTTGTTCTTTATAGTGTTTCTTATCTGAGTGGACCTGAAGCTTATAAACCAGCAGTTCTCTCTCCTGTCATTTCCATCCTGTATTTTTATTTTTTTAAATATATTTTTATTGATTTCAGAGAGGAAGGGAGAGGGAGAGAGAGAAACAAACATCAGTGATAAGAGAGAATCCTCAATCGGCTGCCTCCTGCAAACCCCCTACTGGGAATCAAGCCTGCAACCCCAGCATGTGCCAGGAATCGAACCGTGACCTCTTGGTTCATAGGTCGACACTCAACCACTGAGCTACACGGCCAGACTACATCCTATTGTGGGTGGGCGGCGCTCCTTCTCCCCACAGCCATCACTGGGTGCCCATCTCATGGATTAAAGGAAACACTGTAATTTGGGTATATCCAGGCTTTTCGTGGAGCTGTGTCAGCTTTTTAAGGAAATGATTGTTTCAGTTATTGATTGCTGGTGCTTATGTTGTGTGTTAAGCCTGAAATATGAAGTCATTATAATGGGGAATGAAATTGAATAACCCAAGGCAAATCGATTACACAGCAGGCATATGACCATAATCTTGTGCCCTTGTCATTGTTCAGCCTGGGTGACTCGCCTAGGGAGTGTTGTCCGGCATTAGTAGGGAGCACTGGGGGAGAGGTGCTGCTGTGATAGTGGCCTCCATCCTGGTGGGGAACAGATCGATGTGAGCTAGCCTCACTCTGCTTCCTGATGAATCAGTTAAAAAGTTATTAAATTTTAAAAAATACTACCATATTGAGACAGAAATAGAAAGTTACAAAAAGATAAGGTGCCATTTACCTAAAAATTTAATTCAAGAAACAGTTTCATATATGATTTAGGGATACATCAAATGTACAAAAACATGGACAGAAATAATACACAACAGCTTCAGGTTATGACATCCAAGGAAGGAGGAAGGGCCAAGGCCTCCAGAATCCAGATAGTTGTATCCAGATCTTAAAAAGAAGTGACAGAAGTTTGACACAAATATGGTAATGTGTTAATATCTGTTAAATCTAGGTTGTGAATATATGGTTCTCATAAATGTAAAATGCATTTTCCATGTTTAAAGTATTTGAGAATTAAAAATAAAGTTGTGAACTTGCAACTTTAACTAGAACCATTTGATTAAGGAATTGATACAGACTTTCCTCATGCTCAAAACATTCTTTATGAATCTCTAGTTTTTAAACATAGTATATAAATTATTGCTTCTGAGGGTATTTCATTAATTTAGAATTTTGAAATCTGACTTCAACTTTAAAATCAACAATCAAACAAGCATAAAACTAAGAAAGTTAAAATCCACTGAGAGTGTAATAAGGCATTTGACCTAGAAAGACACCCAGGCTCATTTTAAGCTACTGCATATTTACACTAAGGAGTAGTTATTTTAAAGAATTATTTGCTTACAAAGGAACTGATTTCTGAAGTGTCCATATTATAGAATAGCTCTTTAAATAAAACTTTTTCAAATAAGATTGTTTCTATTTGAATACTGTATTTTCTGTGTATGACAAAAAATTATGTCCACAAATTATTTCCAATGATAATTGAAAAATAGATTCTCATTTCCTATCTAAAATGTTCCTATTGTAGTGGCTTTTATGCTTTCTTAGTGAATTACTTATTTAAAAAAACACACCATCGGATCAATTGTATGTAATATATAAGTATGGTTTAGATTAGGGGTAGGCAACATTTTTCAGTGAACGGTCAGATAGTAAATAAATTAGATTTACAGGTCACAAATACTTGGTTCTGCTATTGTAGTGTGAGAGCAGCCCTAAGCAATACAGAGTGGATGAGTAAACACATAAATGAATGGATGTGGCTGTGTCCCGGTAGAACCTGATTTACAGAAACATGTAGAGGGCCACAGTAGGCCCACAGGCCATCGTTCGCCAACTCCTGGTTCAAGTAACAAAACAAAACACTTAGGTAACCATCCCATCTTAAAAAATGTTGTTACTGGTTTTTAAAAATTCTGTCTGTCTTTTTTGTTTTGTGTACCCAGAAGAGAATCCTTTGGAAATTAAAGAAAAAGCAATGGATACTGAAGAAGCAGGTCATGAAGCTGAGGAAATAAATGAAGAGACTGGGGCCAATCAGAATGAAGATCAGGGTCAGCAGGAGCCTGAGGAAGGCTCCAGTGAAGATGACAAGGGGGAGGGGGTGGAAGAGATGGACACAGGAGCTAGTGACCAAAACAAAGATACGGACCAGCCTTCTGAGGAAAGCTCAGAAGAGGAGGAGCCGTCTCCAGAGGACAAGGACAACAACGCTGAAGCCAGTGAGGACAATGCAGAGAATGGCGTCTCTGTTGACCAAGGTCTCCAGCCTCAGGTACTGGGTGGTCTGGTTTGCCTTGGATTAGAAATAATGAGAAGAAATTCTTACTCCCACTGGAACGTCCTTTAGGACAGCGGTCGCCAACCTTTCAGACTGCTGCTTTAGGATACTCCTCCATCACCAGGTGGTGCTGCTTTCATTTTCTGTTTAAGACCTTCCCTGGCTGATCCCCTCCCTCCAGACCCCTCAGTGAAGAGTGAGGTGTTTGCTTGCTGCAGGGGTTCCCCACCTCATGTCCCTTCCCCAGAGCACTTAATGCTGTGTTTGATTTCCCTGCAGGAGGAAAAAGAAGAAGGGGAGGACTCTGACACAGAGGAGCAGGTGCCAGAGGCTACGGAGAGGAAGGAGCACTCCTCCTGCGGGCAGACGGGGGTGGAGAACATGCAGAGCGAGCAGGCGGTGGAGCTGGCTGGGGCCGCGCCTGAGAAAGAGCTGGGGAAGGAGGTGAGGGGCCCTGCCAGCTGCCCAAGGAGAACTGCTGCTTCCTGTCTGAAATCACAGTAGCTGGCTTACATGTGATGTTTGTTTTAGTTAACATCTGAAAGGTCATTTTTCATTCTTGAGAAAATGATTATAGACCTACTTTATATGCTTCCCTGAACTAACCCCAGAATATTTGCTACACATTATATTTAACCGATAGGCTTAATGAGAAAGTAATAGTTCTCTGTGGGAGAAGCAGGTTCATGTTATTTTTTTTTACTAGAAACTCAATGCACAAAATTTGTGCAAGAGTAGGCCTTCCTTCTCCTGGCTGCCGGCACCGGCTTCCCTCTGGCTGCTGGCAGGTACCCAGGACCTGGGCTCCCGTTGCAGCCCTGGCTTTGTGTGGAAGGACATCCAGTCTAATTAGCATATTACGCTTTATTATAGACTAGAGGCCTGGTGCATGAATTCATGTACTAGTGGGGTCCCTCAGCCTGGCCTGCGGGATTGGGCTGAAACCGGCTCTCTGACATCCCCCAAAGGGTCCCGGATTGCAAGAGGGCACAGGCCAGGCCAAGGGACCCCACTGGTGCACGACTGGGGCCGGGGAGGGACATGGGTGGTTGGCCAGCCTGGAGGGACTGTGGAAGGGCTCCAGGGCATGTCTGGCCCATCTCACTCAGTCCCTATAGGCCAGACCCCAGCAGCAAGCTAACCTACAGCTTGGAGCGTCTTCCCCCTGGTGGTCAGTGCACATCATAGCAACTGGTCGACCAGTCGACTCTCTGCCCCCTGGTGGTCAGTGTACATCATAGCGAGTAGTTGAGCGGCCTTAGCATATTACGCTTTGAACGGCTGACCAGACAACCGGACACTTAGCATATTAGGCTTTTATTATATAGGATATTTTATTGATTTTTAGAGAGGAAGGAAGAAACATTGATTTGTTCTCCACTCAATTTATGCATTCATTGGTTGATTCTTTTTTTATTTTTTTTAAGTATATTTTATTGATTTTTTTACAGAGAGGAAGGGAGAGAGATAGTTAGAAACATCGATGAGAGAGAAACATGGATCAGCCGCCTCCTGCACATCCCCCACTGGAGATGTGCCCGCAACCCAGGTACATGCCCTTGACCGGAATCGAACCTGGGACCTTTCAGTCCGCAGGCCGACGCTCTATCCACTGAGCCAAACCGGTTTCGGCCATTGGTTGATTCTTGATATGCCCTGACCTCCTAGTTCATAGGTCAACGCTCAACCATTAAGCCACACTGGCCAGGCAGCACTTTGTTTTGACCTGGGTGATGTGCTCTGTATGTGGCCATAGCTGGGGCCGCTGGCATGCTGTGAGAACCCTGGGTCAGAGGACCTACTGTTGTAGCATTGACTCTACCAGCTCCTGTAGCCTCTCTCAGCCCATTTTCTCCCCAGTAATTACCACTGTTTATATACTTACACCTTCTCCACCCCATTTATTAAGCACCCATAAGGTGCTAAGCATTTCCATTACTTCAGCAAGTTCTTACAATAGCCCTCTAAGGTAGCTGATATTGTTCTTATTTTCTCCATTTTACACTTGAGTTAAATAGCCCCCAGGGAAGTTAAATGACAGTCTCGAGGTTATGCAGCTGGTTGCTGATAAAGCCTGGTTTCTAATCAGGTCTGTCCTGCCTTCAGAGTGAGCCACTATACTCCTGTAAACTAAGAACTGTCAGCCTAAAGTGAGGTCACCCGGAGTGTTGGTAACAGGTCCGGGTCTAGATGCTCCTGTTTCTACCCATGGGCCAGGCTGTAGTCACGGGTGAGCTCCAGAGCAGGCGGGCAGGTATGACAGTTGCACTCTGAGATGAGAATAATGGAGAAGTTGTGCACAATGCAGCAGAGTAACCAGGTGCTTGGTAGCTTCCTCCATCCTCATTCTTTATGGCTTGGATTTCATAGGAACACGGGAGTGGAGCTGCGGATGCGAACCAGGCAGAAGGCCACGAATCCAATGTCATCGCCCGGTTGGCCTCCCAGAAACAGACCAGGAAGAACACACAGGTCTCTATCACTCTTCATCTAAACTAAAGTGAAGGCTGCATCTAAAAAAGATGCTGTAAACATAGTGATTAAATAAAAAGCCACATTCTTTATCTTTGCTGTCCCTATCCTACCAGACACGATGGCAGCCCTGGTGAGTAGGCCACGATTTTGGGGCTTTCCCAGTGAAACCTGTGCAGGGTCATGGACACATGCACACACACCACGACCCCATTCCTGTTATGGTGCCTAAGATCCCGGTGGTGCTGCCCAGCGCCAACCAGTACTACTCTTTTCAATGTCCATAGTCTTTTGAGTTTAAAAAATGTTTTTTTAATGAGGTATAAATTTCTGCACACGATTCAAAATTTTTATATAAAAACCAGTTCCCTAAAAAGCTTCCATCCTATCCCTGTACTCAAGCCACCCAAGGAAGTGGGTGCTACCAGTTTTGTCTTTAGATCTTCTCTGCATATGTGACATATGTGGACATACATATGTGCATGACTTTCTTTGCTTCCTTGTCTTAATTCAGATACAAAACTGTCAGAAATTACCCCATATGTGTATGTAAAGAACTATCCATTCTTTATACTTATAACAGCTGTGTTGAATTACAGTTTTGTATGGCTGTACCTAATTTACTTAACCAGTCCCCCAGGGACGGACACTGTGGTTATTTTTAGTCTTTCACTATTAGACAAGGCTCTGATGAATTTCCTCCTATTTCCCAGAGTTTTAAGAGGAAACCTGGACAGGCCGACAATGAACGCTCCCTGGGTGATCACAATGAGCACGTGCACAAGAGGCTGAGGACTGTGGATATGGACCGCCACACGGAGCAGGAGCCCACCCCGGCCCAGCCCCAGCCCCAGGCAGAGGACGCGGCTGCATTTGAGCACATCAAACAAGGGAGCGACCCTTACGATGCGCAGACCTATGGTAGGTGCAGGGAAGGCTTCTTTGCTCACTGAGTTCTCTGAGAATTTATGCTGTATGACTGTGTGCCACCAGCTGTTACTACAAATTCATCTTTAGGAGGGAGAGGAATGGCTTTTAAAAACTCCTAATAACTGTGCAGAAATATGAATTGTTTTTTGTTTAAAGGTATCTGTAGCCAAAATGCTCAGTGTTTCTGGGCCTAGTGTAAGTTTTTAGAATACCCTGATAACTATTGGCTGCATCCAAAACCAACATTGATCTCAGGCTTTCTGAGATTTCTTCATAATCACCTTGAGGTTGCTCCCTGCAATGGCAGAAGCCGTAAACTTGAAATATGTGTTTTTTTCTGTACATGAAAAGGGAGTAGTCATTTTCAGTCTCTCAAGTTCTTGGTGACTTTTCACCGTTTTATTCCTAATTGTGAAATACTATTGATATCTACCAATGAGGATAGTACAGAAGCAATTCCTCTGCAATAGATGACTTTTCTCCTCTTCTGTCCCTACTCCTTAGGAAAATAAAATATGATGATCACAGCTACCATGTATTGAGCTTTTACTCTGTGCCAGATACTATTCTGAGCCTTTGCCACAAGGTCATGTAATTCCTCTAATCTCATGAGTGAGGATATCTCAACTTTATAGATGAGCACACTGAGGCCAAAGAAGTTTAAGAATTTGTCCAAGATCTGGATGCAGGGATTCCCATGTTAGCGTTTCTATGCCAAGTGTTACCATAACTTAGTAATGGAGGATGATGCCATTAGCTGCCCTGAATCATGTGCCATGTGCCCAGCCTGTTTATTCTGGTTCAGACTCTTGTCATAGCACTAGAAACCCAGCTAAACATCCTACTTCTGTGGTCACATGTGTAGTTACATGATATGCTTGAGGGGGTGGGAGGGGAAGAATAGGCAGTTTTACATAGTTAGGTTAGTAGGACATCTTGGGCACAAACAAGCCCAGCACTATGTCTAAGGCACATAGCCGATTAGTGGCAGAACCAGCATGAATAACAGAAACCACACCCACTCATGATTACTTTGTTCTGCAAAGACCTAGGCTTTCTATGTGTGTGTGCACTTTTTTAACAGATGTAGCCAGCATGGAGCAGCAACAGTCTGCAAAAGACTCCAGCAAGGAGCAGGAGGAGGAGGAAAGAGAGGACATCTTCATGGACGTGGAGGAGCAGGAGGAGCTCAAAGCAGTAGACACCGAGCAGCTGAAGCCAGAGGAGGTCAAGTCGGGGACCACAGCAGGCTCTGGTGAGTCTTACAGAAAACAGACCCCTCCTAAGCTCTCTGATTTAGAGAAGTTGCTTTTCTTGTACTGTATTCTAAATCTGGACTTTTACTTCCATGTCCTAAACCCCGGCTTAGACATTCATTGGCCTATAATAATGTCACTGTATCATGTTTCAGAGTGGAAAGGTGGAAGAGTGGTGTTGCAACACACTCTTTCAAGGAGACCACTGAGACTTGCCTTTCACACAAAATCCCATCTGCCTTTTTAAAACTTGCAGAACAGAATAGAGCACTTATCCAATTGTGACAAGAAGGTATATTCTTGACTATTAGAGAAATGTTTTCTATTAAATGGAAATCCTATCTAATAAAAGAGAAACATGGTAATTAGCCATACCTCCACTACCCTTCCCATCGGCTAATCAGGGCGATATGCAAATTAACTGCCAGCCAAGATGGCGGCCGGCAGCCAGGCAGCTTGAAGCGAACATGAGGCTTGCTTGCTTCAGTGACGGAGGAAGCTAACATTCCCCGCCTGCCGCTGCAGTTTCTTCATCTATAAAATGGAACTATGATTTTATTTATTTTAGCTTTTATTTTTATCAAAGCTCTACATGCACACAATTTAAAGAATCACAGTTTTTCAGGGCTTGTCAATGTGGACTATCATCTCCCCTATTTCCACCTCCCCAGAACAGCTGCCTTCAATATCATGGTGAGGAGGAGGAGAAGTTAGGGGAATAAGAGTTGGTAACAACTGTTACAGAGTGAAAGAATACGTGGAACCAATATGTGGCGATGTGCTGGGAAGTGAATGAGTGAAGTCTTAATAATTGTTAGGGTTGAAAGACAGCCATGAAGGCTTAGTTTTTATGTTAATACTAGAGGCCCCATGCACGAAGATTCATGCAAGAATGGGCCTTCCTTCACTCTGGCCGGAGCTGCCTTCCCATGCTGTCCAGCTGCCCAGAGGTCCGGAGCGGCTGGGGCGGTGTGGAATGCCTGTGTCGTTGCCATGGCAACAACACAAGCATCCTGCCCCCCACCGCTCGGTGCCTGCAAATTAACCCGCCATTTTTGTTGGATAATTTGTATACTCACTCCTGATTGGCTGGTGGGTGTCATGAAGGTATGGTCAATTTCCATCTTTGTCTTTTATTAGTGTAGATGTATGGTAAGTAAAATTATGTCTTCTTATGAAAACAGGCATTGATGAGATGGAGACCAAAACTGTTAAAACAGAGGAAGACCAAGACCCCAGGACAGACAGATCCCACAAGGAGACAGAGAATGAGAAACCTGAGAGAAGCCGAGATTCAACCATTCATACAGCCCATCATTTCCTGGTGGACACGATTTTCCAGGTACTAAAACTTTCACAAATAGAGGTGGGGTGATTAGAGTGGGAGAAAAAAGTCTTTCAGAAGTCACTACTTTACTAAGTTGACAAAATGTAATTATAAATTCCTTTTTAATCATTGTCTTTAGAACTTTATGGAATACCTGTTTGTTTTGGGGTATCATATCCTTACCAAATTTCTTAGGATCTCTGTTGGTATGACAGGCGTTCTCTAAAGCAGATAAAACACTGTTCTAATGGTTAGTCCCAGGGTCACAGCAGGTGGTCTGTGCCCTGACCTGGGGTGATGGTGGATCTGGTCCTTGGGCCTCCAGCTCTCACATCTCTTCTTATGTCCACCATCCTGTGTAAGGAGCCTGCAGGAGGGTTAACAGTTTGTGTTCGTTAAGTAACAGGAATCTTTGACTTAATGCCTGCGTTTAGGAAGAACAGAGTAACCAAGTTGCTTTTCCTAATTGTTTGACTTAATGGAAGTCTAGATTAATCAAATAATAATTTCATTATTGAGATTTAGGCATTTGGTTTTGTTCTGCTGGGATCAATTTATAAAAGTTAACATTTCCTTTATCCATCTTGCCTCAACAAATGGGAAGCAGAGGATTGTTGTCTGGCATCTCCTTACTGTGCCATTAAATTTGCTTGTGTGTTATGTCTCGGGGGTATGCACTTGGATTCATACTGCAGAGAAGAAGGCAGCCTGAGTTTGTGATTCCAACCTGGGCTGCCTCTCATTTGTGTTTTTTCTTCTTAGCCCTTTTTAAAAGATGTCGATGAGCTAAGGCAGGAGCTGGAGAAACAGCTGGAAAGGTGGCAGCCACATGAACCTGGAAACCCAGAAGAAGTAAGTCACTGGCCTTTTCATACAGTATCCTGACTTTTGTTTTGTTAAGATACAGAAACTTAATAGGTCCTTAGCTCCAGAACCTTTGTAAAAGGGACCGAGTACATGGAGTATAATTATAATCCTAAAGCCCAAGTCCATTGTCTGCTTTGCCACTAGACCTGTAGTTTAATTAAAACAGAAATGATGTGACTTCTTCTGTTGCTTACTCTGTAATGGATGCCACAGTGGTTGAAAATGGGGCAAAAGGATACTATATCATTCTCAGAATAGGCCACCTGGGGCATTAGCAGGTGGTGTAATACCGAAGTGTAGATCACCCAGAAGTTCCATTTTTAATTTCTTTGCATTCTGAATTACCTGTATATATACATATTTTATTTGATTTTCTGTCTCATCATCATCCCCACCACATATGTTGGCAGAAAATCACACAGCTGTTTCCAGGAAATATGCACACTGTTTAATGTGTTGAGATTTGCACTTGTCACTTTTGCTTTTAAAACATGACCCTGAGAGCCCACGATTAAGGGGCTGGATCTGTTGGCACCAAAATTACCCATTCACAGCTCCCTCTCCACATGAAGGGTACAGGTTATACTCTAGGTGATGTGAAGAAGGCATTGATGTGGTCATGTGTTTCAATATTTTACAGTTTGAACTGTTTTTGTGGAAAGAGACATTTTTAATCAAGTGAATTAGATAGCAGCTAAGAAAAACTTTAAAGTGCTTCTCAGTGTCAAACCTTCACCTTGTTGTAATGATTGGTCAGCTCTGACATTGTCCAGGTAACTTACATGTTCTTGCTGTTGTCACAGGAAAAGGCTGCAGCTGAGATGTGGCAGAGCTACCTGATCTTAACTGCACCTCTCTCACAACAGCTGTGTGAACAGCTTCGCCTCATATTGGAGCCCACCCAGGCAGCCAAGCTGAAGTAAGTCGTCTCCATCGCATACACTTGAAGAGCCCTGAAATGATGGCAGTTTCGCCTTTCCCATTGAGCTCAGCACTTAACCACTTATTGGGCTGGCTTCTGAGTTGCCATTTCTGCTGCACAGGCACCAGGATGGTGTTCCTTAGTCTGTTGTCTACCAAAGAGTCGGTGAAGTTTGGCACGAATGCAGTTTCTTTGGTTCATGAATAACTGATGGGAAATTGCTGAGCCTTTGTGTGTGCTGCTCATATTGCTGCTACATGTTGGGCTACTCGCTTGTTACTCACCTAGATCTTTTCAAAGATGGGTCCAAGATTACAGCTATAGAACAGAAAAGAGAATCCAAGATTTAATATTCAATGCAAACTTTTTTAATTTTAAAAAAATGTCCCTTAAATTTTTTGGATCTAATTATTATTGAACCGCATACATAGCCAGTTTTTCTGGCGGCTAATCAAGGAGATCCTGGCCTTTAAATCTCAGTTGCAGTAACACTTCATTGTGCCAGGTTACTGGTTATTTTGTATAACTGGGGATAAGATACTTTTAAAGTTTTCAAGGGATGAGCAGTTTTTAATCTTTGTCCCATTTGGATAAATTTAATAGAGGAGACTATCGAACTGGGAAGCGATTGAACATGCGGAAGGTCATCCCATACATTGCTAGCCAATTCCGAAAAGACAAGATTTGGCTCCGAAGGACCAAGCCCAGTAAACGCCAGTATCAGATTTGTTTGGCTATCGATGACTCTTCTAGCATGGTAGACAACCATACCAAACAGGTAAGAAGGAGAAGTTACCTAAATCAAGCTCTGTACCATGGGACATCAAATGCTTTAAATATGACCTGAAGGAAACACCAATTAGTCTTTCTTTCCTGAGAATGCAAATACCATGTTTGAGAAGATCTAAAATTTAAAGAGTTCAAAAGGGCAATTTCAAGATGTCTCAAATATTTTGGTGCCTTACTGTTATGTTTTTAAAATTGTTTTATAGCCTTGCTGTGCTATTGTCTAGCTGCAGAATAAGTAAATCTGACAATGTGTATTTTCCTCAAAATGCAGTGTACTGCCATTCTTTAAACCATGCACAACATATGTTTTTTTAAAAAATGTATTCATCACACATTTCTATTAAGTCTGAAATTATCTAGAGTTAGAGTTCTATCAGTATTAACAAGGCTCAGGAGCCTGAATAGAATTACTTACAATACCGTAAGTAATATGCACACTGAAGAGTGTTGTTTTTTGCTGTTACGCAGCACGAGTCAATGAGCAATCTAAAATCTACACATAGGATCCGCTGGAAAAAGTTTAACCTCTGAACCTGAGTTCAGCTCCCCACCACCACGTGACTCTCTACTACTGTGTGACTTTGGGCATTTCATCAGAGTTGTTAGGAAAACTAAATTAAATAATGGATGTAGAAAACTTGATTTAATGTTAATTTCTAGCACTTGATAGGTATTTAGTAGATGTTAGTTGCCATAAGTGTCATCATAATCAACATCTTTATATATGAATTTAAAACTATGCAGTCATATTCATAATTAGGATAAATTGATTTTTTAAAAAATTACTTTTTATGTCATCAAAAAGGAAGTTTTTAAAATTTATGGACCAAATATCTCAGGATCACTTTTGTGGAATGATGTCTAGAGCAGACCTTTCCTACCAGTGTAATGGATTATAGGTTTCAGCATTTGTGGTATTAGCCAGGGCCCAAGGACACCAAGCCTCTGGGTTGGTTGTGAATAGCCATATTAATGGTGTTTCCCTGTGGGCTATACAAAATAAATGTCTTCTGTAAAAATCTTGGTATAAAAAACGTTGATATTCTGATTCCTTCAAACACTTAACTGTCGATTTCACAGCTTGCCTTTGAATCTTTGGCTGTGATTGGAAATGCTCTAACTCTGCTGGAAGTAGGTCAGATTGCGGTGTGCAGGTAAGAGTGCCTTTTAATCACACTGGGGAAACTGGTCTTCTATGGTTATTTTGTTCACATGACAAAAAATAATCTTCATTATATTTGGCTTTTCCCCGAAGTTTTGGAGAGTCCGTAAAGCTGTTACACCCATTCCACGAACAGTTCAGTGATTACTCGGGGTCCCAGATTCTACGGCTCTGCAAATTCCAACAGAAGAAAACCAAGATTGCTCAGGTGTGCTATGACATCAGAGGTCTTCTGCACAGATACTCCTCTCGCTCAGTGGAGGTTTTAGAACACCTTCCTCCCAATGTGGTATAAGGACAGGCAGAATTTACAGTAGAGAACACGGTAAACCCCAGCCTGTGTCCTGCGGGGATAGAAACTTCCTGTGCCCATTACTGACACGGTGTAACCTCAGTTTCTCAAAGGTCATTTTTGACTTTGTATCTGGCTCCTTATTTTTCTGAGAGGTTTGGAACATTTTTGAAAAATAAACCATCTCCCAGTACCCTTATCAGGGTCAAGGCCAGTCCCCCCCCCACCCCCAGTTAGCTTAGAGAAGAAATGATGTAAAATAAAGCCACATGACTTGACAAGTTCTCAAAACATAGCATGGGACAGTAATTCTGACGTGGACATTTTGTGTTTTCTTGCCTGTTTTTTTGTTTTTAAGACAGCTGTTTTGTTCATTTGGGGAGTTAATTCACTTCTTATCCCCCAGTAAAGGTATTTCTTTTCCTTTGGGGTGTCATGTAGAACACTAGTGGGGTGTATGCCATATCTCAAGGGTGAATACCAAGCAGTGGTCCTTGACTACAGGTGGCTGAAGGGATAGTCTGGTTGCCTGTAGGTCTGAGATGGTTATAACTTTAAGCTCTCTGAGAATGGGAAGAGAGTTGTTTCCTAATTGTTTCTGGTTTAGTTTCTAGAGTCGGTAGCCAGCATGTTTGCAGCCGCTCAGCAGCTCTCACAGAACGTCAGTCCAGGTGAGCTGCATTCTCTTACCTTTGTTGACAAAATGGTTTTCTGTTGTCTGTATTTGCAAGTTGCCTGCTTCATCTCACTGCACCCGTCACCATCTTTTAATGTGGATGCTCTACCGGGAAAGCAAGAACCAGGAGAGGTATTAGCCATTCTGGAATTTTTTACTCCTTTTTTTAGAAATTTTTATTAAACCCATACCCAGGAGGCTTATAATAAATGAAGGAATTAGACACTAATTAACTAGTATATACTTATTTGATAGATTGGGTTGAGAGTTATGAAAGGAGCAAGTTATACAATATTACAGAATATTCGTACTTAACAAGAAAGCAGAGGAGGACATTATTCAGAAACCAGCTAATCCAGCCATGATTGATTTGGGCCTTGAAACACACCAGTTCTTTCTCTAGTTCTTTACAGAAATCTCTCAGTTATGATTGTATCATGGAGAACTTCCTGTTGGAAGCAAGTCTTTTTCATACATCTCAAGACTTGGTGGGCTGTCTTTCTCTGTCAAAGACATTTACCCTCAGACACTACAATCTTTAGCTGATAACATTATACATTAAATATTTTTAAACATTTTAATTCACCATTTATTTTTTAATGTCCCCCTCTGAGTTTTTAAAAACAATTTTAAGGGGAAACATACAGAAATCAGCAAAAATTTCAGACAGGTCCAGGTTTTTGACAGATACTTTCTTCTAATGGCCTCCTCAGTACACATTTTTGTATTTTAATTCTCCAGTGAAGTTGATCTAAATGTGACATTCCCTGAACACTACTGGGAAACTGTTTTATTGCCAGAAGCTTTGTAAGTATGCCGTCCCTGATGCAGGCATCTGAAGTAACATCTAATTAGAGGTCCCTTTTATTTGTGCTCAGAATTCACCAGTTCCAGAGCTGTTTGATGTCAGTATTACAGAGAAAGCCTACACTAATTTGTCTTTAAGTAGTTTTGAGTTATGGTTAAAGATGGATTTCCATTGTGTTCTACAGACGCTGCACAGCTCCTCCTGGTGGTCTCTGATGGACGCGGTCTCTTCCTCGAGGGCAAAGACAGAGTCCTGGCGGCAGTCCAGGCTGCCCGGAATGCGAACATCTTCGTCATTTTTGTTGTGTTGGATAATCCCAGTTCCCGGGTGAGCGACTACGAAAAGCCACTTTTCTGGGGATAATGTGGAGGTGTTCTTCAGCCTGTTCCATCTGAAATATGGCCTGGGTCGCACCATCATACTCAGAATTCCTAACACAGTGTTCCGTCGTCAGGCCCTGCTCTAGGCACTTTATAACTTTTCTCATTTACTTTGCAATAATCCAGTGAGATGGGGATTATTCCCACTTTAGTGAAGGACAGAATAACTGATTGTAGGTGATGAGTAGGAAAGCCAGGATCCTGGCTGACTCCAGAGAGCACCCCTTAAATACTTCCTATGCCAGATTTTGACAGTGGGCCCTTTCCAGTTACTCGTACCTCAGCAGTGCCCTCCTCTGAACAGGAAGATCAGTCGCCAAGTGAAAGATGTCTGTCCACAGGGCAATTCTGTTCCAGGTTAAGGCCTAGACAGCAAGTTGAAGATCTAATGTGAATAATCCAAGTTGAGAATGGGACACACCGTCACAGGGAAATTGGGTTTTCTTATCCCCCTTTCAGTGCCTGTTCTGGAAGGGGTGTTCAGAAAGACCTTCCTCCTCAATGAGTTCTGAAAATTTTGTTTTACTTAGTAATGAAAGCTACTCTCAGAGGCAGGAATTACACACAGGAGACTGAAAACATGTTGGAGAGAGAGAGCCTGGAAGAGCTAGCCAAGGACACTGATTTATTTCAAAATGTCTTCTGTTGGCAGGATTCTATCTTGGACATTAAAGTGCCAATATTTAAAGGACCCGGAGAGCTGCCTGAAATTCGATCCTACATGGAGGAGTTCCCATTCCCCTTCTACATAATTCTTCGCGATGTGAACGCACTCCCCGAGACGCTCAGCGATGCTCTCAGGCAGTGGTTTGAGTTAGTGACAGCCTCTGACCACCTGTAGACCAGCAAGAACATAGTCCAAAGTTGAGACTTGAAACCACGGTCAAGAGCTACTTCTTGCCCAGGTGCTCCTTTCTGGACACTTCTGAATTTGCAGCTCTAAGTTATATTTTATCTTAGGTCTGATTTATAAAAATTCACTCAGCTACAAAAAAACGTATTGCAATGTACATTTTGACATTTCAGAGGAAACTTGGCCTAGGCTACTGTTCTTAAAACAGACATGGAGCAGCAGGCGTCTGGTCTCGTACCTGAGAGACTGCCCTGCCAGCCTGTCTTGGAAGCCCTGGCCTGAGAGGAGGCCAGCCCCTCCGTGAGCCCAGCTGTCTGCTTTCCCTCGAAGGGACCCTGGACACCTGCCTTGAGGAGGTGCTGCCAGGAGCCCGGGGCTGTGCCAGTCCTTTGGCTAAAGGCCTGACGGGAGCTGTGCTTTTGACCCCACTCTAAGGTTTGGCTTTGCCAAGCCCACAGTGTGGACCCAAAAGCTGTCAAGTGGCTGGGACAGCTGCAGTCCTCAGAGGCTGGTTGTATGTGTGCTCATCACCCACCAGCCATCCGGGGGCTCCAGGAAGCGGAGCTGATCCCTGGGCTGTATAAACATGAAGTGGCTTTTCAGTGTCCTTCACATTTGCTGCTTCGGGAGACTATGCAATGATGGGAAGATGGTTATCCTTTGTGTATTTCATTCTCTCAGTGCCATAGTCCCTGCTGTTGTAGTAATTTATTTCTTTAGTTCCTTTTTTTCTTATCAGTTAAGGGGAAGAGTCATTCCTCACACTGCTTTCAAGCTAGACTGAGCCAGTTTTATTCTGGAAAAGATATGCTGTATCCAGAAGAACTAAGAAGCTACATCTATCTATTTTTTTCCCCAGTCAAAATACACCAACGGTTTTTAGGCAGTTTTTACTTGGCCAGAAAGCAGTGCTTGAATACTTGAAACTGTTTGACTTAAGTTCTGACCGTCAGAATGTTGTTTTGTAGACAACATGCCATGATGTAATTGTCTATCTCCATGTCTGTTATCAAGTTACACTGTGAAGTTTGCCACTCTTTTTGAGGTGGTCAACAAAACACAGATTGCTTGTTGTTTGTTTAACCAAGAGTCCAAAGCATGTACCTGATGTTATATCATTTATTTTTTATTCTAAAAAGCTATGAGCTTATATTCTGAAAACTATTAAAAAATATACCAGTGGTGATATAATTTGTGAATACAACAGAGAAGTACAAAAGGAATGGTCTTATCTGCTGGACCAGTCAGCTGTTACTACCTAGACTGACATGACTCCACAACATCAGTGGCTTTCTGTACAGTAGGGTTTATTTCTTACTTGTTTCTATGTCCACGGAGGGTGAGTTGCGGGCCTCGTGGCGATGGAGAAATGGCGAGTTGGTGGAAACAATGGCTCATAAAAATTCTGTTCCAAAAGGACACATCTCTTCCACGCAGATTTCATGTCCAAAGCCATTTATGGGGTAGGAAGTTTACTCCTTCAGCAGGGTTGGATCTGGTAGGGAAAAAACGACATTATGACAGTGATGTGGTAGTTTATCATCTGTACCTTTAATTGATAGGACCATCCAAACTGGAGCATCCCAGCTGGTTTGCTAAGATAGTGAGTCCCTTAGCCCTGCAGCAGCTCATTGGGTCTGGGACAGTAGGAATTCCAGTAAGCAGCTACCCAAGAGTGCCCTTTTCAGCTTGTGCTGTGATGGGGAAAGAGTTAGGAAGCATGGGAGCAGTCACAGGAGACCTATCAGGGACCAGGGTGGGGGTCAGGCAGACCCTGGCCCAGCGTACAAAGCACACGTCACTAGAAGTCCAATGCGCTATCCATTGCGCCACAGAGCCCGCTGCACACGTCATTAGAAGGTTCCGAGGACACGCTTCTTCTCACACTCACCTGCTACTCAGTCTTTACATCTGCCTTACTTCTCTTTCTTCATCCAAACCCCAGTCTTGTCTGCTCTGACTTCTGGGTGTTTATCTTATCCTATCTCCTCTGACGACACTGTAGTGGGAATTCTTTTAAATCTGTAGCCTGGAGTATTAAATAGTATCCTAAAATAATCTGTTAGCTTCACTTTATCCTACTCACAACATCCAAGGAGATCTTTCAAAAGTTCCTCCAGAGGGCCCCACTGAGAAGAGGACATTTATTATTAGGGTGCCCTGATTGCTGCCTTGCTCTCCCTGCATCCCCACCACACCATTCCATCTATCACAACAAACCACAGGGATCCTAGAATCTGCCCGTGTTCCACACATTCTTTTCTGGAATTCTCTTACCTACTTTCCTTTCTGACAAACATGTTGCTCTGATAAGCCCTCCAGGAAGAATGAGCTCCCATATTATGAACCTTGACATCTAACACTTAATTAGACTTACATGTCTTCCTGCCCATACCATGGTGCTGAGAACAGAGAGCATATATGACTCTTGACAGCATTACCAGTGTCTAACATAAATGTTTCTTGATGAGAAGAAGAAATGGGCTAAAAATATCTGTTCTCACACATTAATTTACTAGAAGCCCAGTGCACAAATTTGTGCATGGGTGGGGGTCCAGCCGGCCCACCCTGATTGAGGTTGGGGGTGGCAATCAGGGGTGGGGCCAGCCAGGGGGAGGGGCTGCAGGCAGTTGGACGGCTGGCCCCATCCCCTGGTCAAACTCCTGGTTGAGGGGACAATTTGCATATTAGCCTTTTATTATACAGAAAGGATAGGTTGAACACTGCCAAAATTGTAATAAAGATCCTAAGATGATTTGGAGGGAAATGATAGAAAATATTTCTAAAGGTTGTATAGAAGATTAATAAGATTTGTGTAAGAAACTACAGAGGAGTCTTCTTGCCAGATAAAAAAAACAACACAACAGCCGAAACCGGTTTGGCTCAGTGGGTAGAGCGTCGGCCTGCGGACTGAAAGGTCCCAGGTTCGAGTCCAGTCAAGGGCATGTACCTGGGTTGTGGGCACATCCCCAGTAGGAGATGTGCAGGAGGCAGCTGATGGATGTTTCTCTCTCATCAATGTTTCTAACTCTCTCTCTTCCTTCCTCTCTGTAAAAAATCAATAAAATATATTTAAAAAACAAAAAACAACAAAAATTAAAAATGAGTCCCAGATGAAATAATCCTGAATAAGTTATTCAAATCCTAAGAGAATTTACCATATAGGTATCGCGAAGTCCAGGAAGAGGAATAAACTATTAAATGGTATCAAAAGTTAGCAGCTGAAAAAGAACTTAACATCCATATCATGCCATGAATCAAAATAAATTCTAGGTGGAGTAAATATTTTAAATATTAACAATGAAAAAAAATTTAAAAATTGAAATTCAAGCCTCAAAAAATACACATTATTGTATAGAAACTTAAAGCTACATAAAGGACCAAATTAAAAAAACAAACAAGCAAACAACCCACATAAGATTAGAATAAAGTCCTTAATAAAGAATTTAATTTAAAAAATAAATGAATTAATTACATATAAAAAAAGTCTTAATCAGCATTAATGGACCAAAGTCATGACAATTCAAAAAATAAGTGTAACTAAAAGTTGTCGGGTATTTAACTTCACTAACATTTAAGTGTATTTTTACTGATTTCAGAGATGAGGGGAGAGGAGAGAGAGAAACATCAATGATGAGAGAGAATCGTTGATCAACTGCCTCCTGCACACCCCACACGGAATGGAGCCCACAACCCAGCCATGTGCCCTGACCGGGAATTGAACTGGAAGCTCCTGGTTCATAGCTCAACCACTGAGCCACAATGGCTGGGCAAACTTCACTATTTAAAAGAAAAAAAAAAAAAATCAATGAATTGCTATTGCTAATTAGTACACAAATTTTGAAAAAGTGGTCATGGGTTAAGCCTGGTAATGTTAAAAAACTCACCATTAGAGTGCTTATATCTGCCACACCCTGTTCTCAGTGCATTATACACACAAGGCCTCTGAGGGATATGCTATCATCTCACTTCACAGACCCAGAACACAATTTGGAAAAGGAAGCACCAAGGATTCCAAAAAGCGAGGCAACAGGTAATGGGACATTTTTGTAAATGTTCATCAAGTAAACAGATCATTGAATGATCCTGTTTGGTTGTATTTTAATTTGGAATAACCCTATTTAGAAAAGAAATACAGCAAAGATTCACTAACCCCCTTATAGTTATATGACCTAAATGCTTGTGTGTGTGTGTGTGTGTGTGTTGTGAGGAGGGCAAAATAATTATGAGGAAATGAAGACATAGGATGTGCATTTCCTTGTTATTAGCGATACAAAGTTCTTACAGCCGCAATGGGGCGGCCATTGAAAGCCTCGTGAAGACCACCACGCTGCCAGGAAAATGCAATAAAAAAAGGGCAGGATGAGAATGAAAAAGACAAAGGAAGAGGGCACGAATTCTAAAATAAGTTAACATTTAAGCTTATAACATTCCTAATTATATATATTACTAGTAAAAAAATTCAAAAGGAGTACACCAGAATAATTTCTCCCCTCACCCCAAAAAAGTGAACTTCCATTTAATGAAACTCATAACCATGTGTCAGGAGCTGTGCTAAATGCCTTTCCACTCCATTCTCAACCACCTATGACAGAAACTGCCATCCCCTTTTACCCGGAGACTCAGGCCAAGACAACAAAGTGCCCAGGCTACAAGCTGATTCCACAGCTCTGCTCTCCAGGCAGAAGCCCAAGCTGCAGGCGTCTCCCAGGAAACCGAACTCGTCCCGCCCCCTCGACCCTCTCTCCACTTCCGCTCCTGCGCACTGTGGCTCTAGCCAACCGGCGTGGAGGACATGGCTACTTCCCGCTTACCCCCAGCGACACTAACGCTAAAGCAGGTACCAGCTATTTTCCCGGGCCTCTGGGACAGCTTCCCCAGGCCTCAGCTCAACTCTCCGTCTCCCCCTGCACCCAACCTACGGGTGCGTCTGGGGAGCAACTGGGGCCGGTGACCCCGCACGCCCTCTGATGGGCCGGGGCCGGAGGGGCAGGGCTTCCCCGTGAGGTGTGGCTGGGAGGGAGGGGCGGGGCCTGGGAGGGAGGGGCGGGGCCTGGGAGGGAGGGGCGGGGCGTGTAGGCAGAAACCAGTCTTGTCAGACAGAAAAGCTGGGCAGGCTCTTGATCTCCTGGAGCCCTGACGCTGCGGGAACTGCTCTGCCTGTTACACTGATCCGTGGAAAAGAGCAAATGAGGTTACCAGGGGATTTTCACAACTGCCTGAACTTAGAAGAAGTGCTGTTGTGGTTATATTTTCTTCGTCTGGGAGCCCTTTTTCTGCCCAATAGTCAGCTCTAGATTTTAAAGGCTCTTATGTTTGACAGAGCAAACAAACAGCCCAAGTAAACTTGTTTTCTTAAAAGAAAAAGAGGATTTTTCTTTGTCCTTTTCAAAACTAAAGACCAAAGAGAAGTGATGTGGTTACAGTCTGGTTTGCTAAAGTGGAGCCCTCTGGGCTGTAATGGTGAGGTTGGAATGGCCCTCTCTCCTCCCCTGCACAGTTCGTGAGAAGGCAGCAAGTCCTCCTTCTCTACAGAAGGATTTTGCAAGCCATTCGGCAAGTTCCAAAGGATTCTGATCGCAAATACCTGAAGGACTGGGCGAGGGAAGAATTCAAAAGAAACAAAAGTGCCACTGACGAGGTAAGAACAAGTTCATAGTAACGACAGTCCCTGACCCTTTTTTGTATTGTTCAGTGAATTTTTAAAAACGTTTGGTAGACATCTTGGAATATAAATGGCACTGCGATATCTTGATCATTGCTCTAATGTTACTGATTTTCCACTTCCTTAACTATTTAAAATTTTACAATCTTTACTATCAGTATCTACATTCTACACTAGCATCACCTGACTTTTCTCTTTAACACTCCCTTTCCCCCCAACACACACAGAGGAAAATATTGTAAATATTACAGCAGGCGGGTCTGGGAAGTATGACTGTCAGACACCGTGCACTCCTGATTGTCAGATTTTTGGCTTCTCTAATACGCAGCAGTTTGAATTCTCAGCATTGGTTCTTAACTTGAACAAATACAATCATACGGCGGCACCTTGATTAACCAGGTAAAACAGTGACCAGATCTCACTTTCTTTTACAGGTTACAATCCGGATGATGATTACACAAGGCAATATGCAGCTCAAGGAATTAGAAAGAACACTTGCCTTAGCAAAATCTTAACTATAGCATTATCCTGGAAGATTTTCAAGGTCTCCATGTGTTTTTTGAGCTTAGGCTCAACGACAGGCAGCCCAAAGTCAAGTCAAACTGTATGTACAGCACTCCAACAGAATATCAGAACATGGAGCATGGCACGTCACAGAGGGCAAAGAAAAGCCGCATTGGAACAATTTCCTTAGCACTGAAAAACATACCCTGTATTTTGAAAATGTTTCTGGATTTGTCAGCAGTTTTTATAAGAAGCAAAAACCAGTACAGGAAACTGTCAATTAGCACAGTGGTCGGCAAACTGCGGCCCCTTGAGTGTGGCTCTTCCACAAGATACCACGTGTGGGCGCGCACGTACAGTGCGATTGAAACTTCGTGGCCACACTCAAGGGGCCAAAGAGCTGCATGTGGCTCGCGAGCCACAGTTTGCCGACCACTGAAGTAGCACATAAAAAAAAATACTCAACACCATTATTCATCAGGGAAATGCAAATCAAAACCACAATGAGATACTACACATCCACCACATGCACTAGAATGGCTGTAATCAAAAAGGGAGATAACTACTAATGGGGAACATGTGGAGAAATCAGAACCCTCATCAATTGCTGGTGGGGACAGAAAATAGAGCAGCTGCTTTGGAAAACAGACTGTCAGCTGCTTAAAAACTTAAACATAGTTACTTGACTCAGCAGGTTTCCTCCTAGGTTTCAACCAACAAAACTAAAAACACATGTCTACAAAACACGTGCACACAAATGTTCATAGCAGCATTATTTCATCATAGCCAAAACAATCCAAATGCCCACCAACTGATAAACAAGTAAGTACAAAATGTGGTATATCTATACAATAAAACATTCGGCAATAAAAAGGAGTGAAGTACTGATACGTGCTACACGAATGAACCTTGAAAACACTAAGTAAAAGAGGCCAGTCACAAAGGATCACATATTGTATGATCCCGTTGATAGGAAATGTGCGGGATAGGTGGAAAGATCAGGGGTTGCTAGGGCTCTGGATGTAATGGAGCATAACTGGATATGGGGTTTCTTGTTGGGGTGATGAAAACATTGTAAAGTTAGGTTTTGGTTGCATAACTCTGAATATACTAAAACCCATGAAAATGTATATTTTATATGTATCCTATGTGAATTATATCTAATAAGCTGTTCCTTTTCATTTTTAAAAATTAAAATATAATTGGCATATAACCTTGTATAAGTCAATTAAGCTGTTTTGGAAAACAGTATGACAAGTAGGATTGGGGGTGTACTGACCTCGGAGATAACCTGGAACTTCCTTGAAAAATCCTCCTGTATTATCCCTCACGGTGGTTGAGGTATGTTCTGCAGATGTGTCATGATCTGATACTGAAAAAGATCACCACTGGGAATCTAGATCTTTGTTGAAGAGAAAGGAGAAAGAGAACCTTAGTAAGTACCTTGAACACCAAAAGAAGAGGCAACTTCTGGATGAAACTAATGCAATTACCTTAACATCCATGTAGAAGTAGCACAATGAATCATTAGGGAAGATCTTCAGTGCAGTAGGTTCTCCAGTGACAGGAAAAAAAACAAAGAGCTTAAAGAATACATCAGAGAAAGACATGGACTTCAGAACACTTTTGAAAGAGACCAAATGTATAACAGTTAATACAGTCAAAGTGAGTTTGTGGTAAGAGGCTGGGACCGGCAGTCCTGCAGCCTGAACTCCTCTGTTCATCTACAGAACAGATCTAAAAAATTAATCCAAGAATCTGACCAGCCCCTGAAAGATACAGAGAAAATTACGCAGAAAGACAAATGGTGTTTAGTATTGGACTGTGCCAGAGGAGGGGCCTAGCCGATGGTGGCATGTCAGTGACCTGCACGGCCAGGGTCCACCTCCATGTTCCACAGCCTCAGAGCTCATAAGACCAAATATGTCTGAATACTCTGCCACAGGGTAATCTGCTAATTCAAAATGCTTGCATGAGACAATTTTTAGATTTTATAAAGATGTGCATTGGCCAGCCTACTGCAAAGCCATCTGATGAAAAAAGCATTTGTGAACAGTTTCTGAACAGAGAACACGTTAAAAATATTCTTTGAGTAGCATGATTGACATACATACTCAAGTATAGGCTGTCCCTAGAAAACCTAAAATCTCAAAAAGCTAAAAACCATCCGTTGAAGTTGTGAGGAAGTCAGTGACTTGCTGTTCTTCCCAGCAGTGGTGTATATGGAAGATGTAAGAGCATTTGTGGTTTGAATTTGCAAGATGTAAAAACCAAAGACTTCAAGAAAACCAAACCTGTAGCTTGTTTGTTTTTTAAACTGGGTAAAACACAAAACTTAATTCTTACCTTCCAGAAGCTAAGATTATTATAACTGACAAGCTTTTACTTCCATTTCTACAGAACAGTTTAATTTTTTTTAGTTCACTTACATGCTTTGAATATTCCCCCTGAATTATAGGTCAAGTCTGTTGTTTAGCCTAAGATTTATTTAGCAACTTCTTCTCACATATGAAATGATGGTCATTAAGAAAGATATTGGCCAGAACAGAACTGCTGGTGAAGTACATTTTATTCATCATCTTTATCAGTATTCTGATAAAGACAAGTTACCTTCCTGGGTATGTTCCCTGTAAACTACACTCTTGTTTGAATGTGCAAGTCTTGTTCCTAACGTTTAATTTTAAGAAGTTTGAATGTTCAGCTTATGTATTTGAAGAAATCTTTATATTAAAAAATTTTAATACAAAAGCTTTCTAGCATATGAGAAGTGGCTAAGGCTATTTCTTATTTAGCATATTGACTGCCCGGTGTCACTGCCCCCTTTTAAGTGTGTCAGGTTGGAAACCTGACACGGCAATGCTATGAATGTGCCTGCAGAGTCACAGGACTTTAAAAGTTGAGGACAGCAGAATGTATTTCCTGGTATAGGTATTACTGCAGTCATACCAACAGACACAGGAGAGCTGAGAGGCAGAGACCCATACTTACCTAAATTATCTCTCTTTTATGAAGGAAGGAAAATGCTAGTAAAATAAAAACAAAAGGAAGCTGCTCACACCTACTTTGAAAACAAAATTAGGATTATGTAGAATAAGATCCAAACAGAATACAAAGCAAATTGTCACTCTGTGCCAAAGTAGAAATCACCTTGAGCTACTTCCTTCCCTGAGTCAGGCAGCTGAGAAATTATACTAGAATTAAGTTAATTATTTGTTTACTGAGCAGAGTGAATCACTTTACCCACTCTATTTTGTATTAAAAAAGTGCTTTGCTGTACTGTGTCTTGCTTTTGTATTAATTTAAATTAATATATTTACATTTATAGTCATATTTGACTTACTATATAGGAAATGCATATTTCCCTTTAAAAACATAACAAAATACATTTTTAATGTTTTTTCTTATTCATAAGATGTATTCTAAAAATGTCATTAGCTTTTTAAAACTGGCTTGTCTTTTAAATCTTGATTGGCTTTTATATCACAAGATGAATTATACTTAGCTTTTAGGAACTATTTGTTAGTAAAAAAAAAAAAATGTTATCTTTGTCTACATAAAATGACAAGTAATGTTATCCTTCTTCTTTGTTCAGTATTTTCCAAAAGGTCAACAGTTTAAATAAAACATTTGTTTAAGCTCACACTGAGAAATCTTTCCATGTTACAACAGGCTTTTTAAAAATATTTTTTTCATGCAGTTCACCTGATCTCTACTTTAAAGCAGATGTGTTTAAACTATACTTTTATGGAAACATGGTGAAGTGTGGTTGAGTGAAGGCACTCTTTCAGGAATCATAAAATTTGGTTAGCTACACAAATGAAAATGTAGGCTAAATATTCACACTTTCATGTTTTAAATAAGGAGTTTCGTATCCATAGTGTTGAGAACCAAGTCTCATGCTTGGAAGTAACAGAAATTCAAGGTGATAAAAATGTTAAATAGAAGACCACATATCTCTCAAGCATCAATGCTTGACTGAAAAAAGAGGGTATAACATGAAAAGATCACTTCCTTTATTTTGGGCTCCCAAAGTCAAAGGTAAGATTAGAACCAATATTCAGTCTATCACAAATATTACTACACTCAAATGCAATAATGCACGAACAACAGCAAAAAATAGCAACACTGCAATACTGCATAACTTTTATGTGTTTTACATCACTTTCCCCACAGCCACTGAAGGTTCCAGCCTCAGTCTGAAACACGACCTACATGACCAGCTATAAATAGTTAATAGTTCTGCTTCTTTGGAAAAGTACTGTTGTGGCATTTGCTCATTTTAGTAGATAGCACAAGGTAAAAATAAGAAAAACCACATGGACCCACAGCTGAGTTTTTTGACAATAAGGAACAAAAACAGACCAAACGCAGGTGTGATCAGAGCTACTGCTTTGTCTTGAGAGGCTGCCATCTATCTCTGGGTTAGAAGGCTGATGGCCTGTTCCGTCTCCCAGCCTCTATTACAGGTTTTCCCATCTTTGAGAAACAAGATCTGTGTCCTCTGCAGATGAGGTACATTTGACCTTTCCCATTCCTCCCTGGTCTCGTCCCTAACTGCGGCTTGGATGGAAATAGCCAGCTCACAGTAAGAAGCTGCCTGCTCCTGGTGGGCAGGAGGTACGTAATCAAAATACTTCCCACCAAAGCAGGCTGTGGTCCGAAGGTGCCACCTAGCGCTACCACCCAGCGCTGTGATTCTGCACCAAGAACTCGAAAAGAGGAAGCAATCCAGAGCGCCTCTGGGAAGACCGTCTGCCTCCACAGCAGCTGAGGAACAAGACAAGCTCAGGAGCGTGAAAAGAAGCTTGAGAGCATCACATGAATTCCCTACCCAGCTTCGGCCAAGCTGCCATTCGTCTACATTTATGAGGAATGTTTATATCCACACCGTCACTATCAAGAACAACAAAAACAACGGTGAGTGTGGCAGGCAAAAACCCCACAAAGGGGCTAAAAACATACCTTGTTTTTTCTGAGTATTTCCATGTCAAGAAGTCATTCTTTTCTCTTTGGCTCAATAAGCAACATTTTATTCAAAATTACAGACAATAGTTACTCAGTTCCTGTGTTTATAGAAATAGAACTGAGGTTTCTATGCATACATGGAATTTTAAGGAGATGAATATAATCCCACATTCCAAGGGACAAGAAGTCTGAAGATGATTAAATTGAAAGATTCAACACACAGAGCTACTTTTGTAACTTTGTATATTCTACAGAGCAGAGCAAAACCCTCAGGGCCCCCGAGGCTGGGGAATGCTGGGGTCTGACTCAGCACAGTCACTGCGAAGCAGTGCAAAAGCTTTTGGGGTGTTTTAATGACAGAACTCAATTAAAAATGAAATACTTTCAAGAAATAGCCTCGTTTCTTTATAAAATACAGATGCATAAACTCAAATTCAGGAAGGTACTCTAAGGTAAATGGGTTTGATTATCAATAGGTTATTGAAGTTTCAGGTAATTGTTACGTGACTTCCCCCACCCCCACCCCCCCATTAATCTGCTTTAAAAATCACAAGGATTAACAAAATATAGTATTTCTATATTTTGGCTGAAAATATAGAAACTGTGATCAAATGGTTTGAATCTTTCTCATCTGTGCTCATTATTAACAAACATTCCAGTGCTATTATCCAATGACTCATTTTTTAAACACACTCTGACTTTTTAAAACATTTTCTTTTAAGTTATACTGGATCTTGTGACATTATGAAAATCTCTTTCTCCTCAGACTCTGTGTGATAAATTTTCACCTGGTTAGAGTGTCAGCACTCTGAGAATTCTGCATTTGAGGGAGGCGTTAGCGCATCGCCGTTACAGCTCTTACGGAAAGACACTCTTGTCTAGGCACAGCAGGTGTGTTTACATGAATGATGACTTGATTTAAGTTCACAAGGGATTAACTTTTTTTTTTCTTGCTTTTGATTTTTATTATTTTGTACATCCTGAATTTTAGGGTTTAGGTTTACACATCATTGAGTATCTAGGTGGTTCGCTTAATCTGAGCTTTTGAACTTCAGATGAACCTGGGCTGAAGTTTTAAGTTTGTAATGAAACCTGAAACTAAACAAGCTTTCCCTGGTTTCAGTTTAATTGTTGTCGTCTTCATAACTTCAGGGCATAGGAAACATGTGTGTCTGGCACATTTTAGAAACTAGTGATGTTTTTTAAAGGCAAGTCTGCTATGTGCACTCTAATTGACACTTGGGGCACAGCTA